AATAAAAACAAAAATCCTAATTATTTGGATCTCATTTTTTTTCAACTTTTTTTTTTTTTTCTAATGAATCTCCAGCCATGTACTTGGGCAACAGGGTTAATGAAATTATTTTGCTGCGTGTCAAGGCTGAATTTGTCTTACAACTCATGAAAAAAGTTTTCAGAACTTTTCAAGGTGAAGGTTTGCTTATGTGTCAAACAAAAAACTCATCCTGTGGCTTTTCTGAGATGATGATCAAGCTAATTCCTTTTAAATTTGTTTGCTTTACTTAAGGAAAACAAACAAATGTTGAGCGTGGTATCCCAGTTATTGTGAGTGTCACTGAAGAACAGAACCTGTTTGGTCACGTTCACCAGAGAAGATGGGAGTTTGAATCTGTACCAGTTATGTCTGGTATGTGGTCCCTACTCACATGAACAAAAATGGATGTGTCTCGATTCATTCAAAATGAGAGAAGGTGGAATGAATTAAGAAGAAGCAGAAGATTAACAATAAGTGAGGATAGTATGTGACTTTTTGTTTCTATCATTACAACTGTTTGTAAAAAACATGACAGATTCTTTTCAACTTAATATTGCTTAATATTTAATACTCTAAGAAGAAAATACTAAAGTAAATATACAAGGTTTCTTCTTTCACTGAGAATATTTTCCTTCTCACATTGGACACCACTGTCATTTTCTCTGAAGCCTCTGATTATAGTACACTATAATTGTGTAAAAGCATCTTCTCATGAATGGGGTTTCATTGCTTTCGGTGCTCTGCAAGATCTGTCCAAAATGTCCAAGTATGCAATTTAAAACAAAACACAGCATGAGATATAAAGTGCAGCAAAAGAATGAGTGTACTTGCTCAAAATGAGATGTATATGCTCTTCTGTGCACAGCCAGATATGTACATGTCTTATTTACATTGTTATGAATTGAAATTGTGACATTATGTAACACATGTAATAATGTTTTCTTGCCTTTCTTCACAATCACTTATGATTTCCTCTAGGATAAGAGAATGGATTACTCAACTGATTTTGGAAATTCTTGAAAGTCTTCTTCCTTCAGAGATAACAAAGCATCATTGAATATAATTTTACACTTAAAAATTCCTAGCTGCTTTGCCAAGTGCCAAGTGTACTGTGGCCTTTCACAGTGTCAGTGTTGTGCAAAACAGTAACAAATAGCCAGTCAGGTAGTTCTACCTGTAGTTAATCCCTTACTGTTTGGCATTTTTTAGAAAGAATCTGAACCATGGTGGAGTCTTTTTCTGAAATACAGCCCCAAGATAGATGTTAATTATTTACCTGCTTCTAGATGTAGGGTCTTGCTGAATGCATGTTTAATCCCTATTATAACCAAGTTCTTGGTAAATTTGAATTTGGTTAGCCTGAATGTAATTTTTTGTTCTTTCCAGACAAAAAACATTCATAGCTGCCTGCAGACACCAAAGTGTTGCCGCTGAAAGAGGTTTCCCAGTATTTTATCTATTAAAACTCCCCACTCAAATTGCAAACTACAGTACTGACATAACTTAAGTGATGCTCAAATTCCACACATTTGTTTGCTTTGTATCCTGCTGCTGTGTAGAAAGATGCTGGAGGATGCTGAAGTAGCATCTCAAGGGTCATTCTTAACCCACCACTGGTTTGAGTCTGATAAATTTTCTGTCCCTGTTAAGGAGAGGCTTTGCAAAGATCTGCTGAGATTAATTCATTTAGGCTATATAGATCTGGTTGTATTTGCTGACTGTAACTGTTTCACAGAAACTGTATGGGTGTGGAGGTGTGTGTTGGTGTGTGTGCTAGTGTGCTGGTGCCTTGGTATAAGGTGAGGAAGAAGTGAGCTATGAATGTGTAGAAATTTTGTAGTTTGAGCAGAAAAACGTCACTGGTAAAAATTGGCCAGACAGTATAAGATTGCTTGCCTAGCATGTGCCTAGAAGCTCAGACTGGATGATAAGTGGTCATTTCAGTCCCTGAGTCAGTCCTTTTTGAGAGAGAACAGATTTAGAGTGTTTGTAATTGAGAGGCTTGGTATAATCACTTTATTTCATTGATTGAGGAAGGTAAGCCATAACCAAGCTGCTAGTCTCTTTTATTGATGTATTAAGTATGTGAGTTTTGGATAGATGTATCTTGTCACTCTGAATATAATATATTTAACTAGACCTGCATTGCAAATTTAAACTTATTTTCTAGAATCAAAGCAGTTCTGTCTACCAGCTGTAGAGACAACATTCTGTTTTCTAATTAACATTCTGTGTTAGGAAAATGGAACCACTCAATATTAGACCAGCCTGAAGGAATTCCTTTACTGCACACTGGTAAATCTGTGGGCTAATACTACATTCAGTGATTGATACCTGAAGTACACAAAATCAGTTTTACCACAGTATTGCATTCTGGATTAAAGAGAAAGAATGGAGACGTATTTGCTTATGGCTTGCATTTCTGTATCCACTATTATATATATATATATTTCAAATAGGATTTGAGATTGAATTGTAATGTGTGGTAACATACCATTTTGTTGTGTTGCTTTCCTGATATCACACAATGGTAGGCTTTCAGGATGCTAGATTTGTAGGGAAGCTCAGAGAGTGAGATATATTTTTAAACCTGTTTGAGCATCATTTTGTCTCTTTGGGTCCTTACCACTTTTGAAAATATTCAGGTCTTCAGTAAGGTGTTTTTTTTTCCCCAAGTAATAATACTGGATATAAAACATCTGTTAATTGGAAAATACAGAATAACACACATGTTTGCAGCGTGTTAAAAACAGTGACTCAGAGAAGAAGCATTTAAATACACTGCTTATTCAAGTACCGTACCTACTTGTGGAGCACTAACAAGGTGGTAAAAAGATGACATTAAAAAGAAGATAGCCTTTGTAGCAGTGGAGCAACTACCCTGGAAACACATTTTCATTCAGTGCATTTTACTAGGTGTAACTAAATTTATCTCACCTTCCAGCTGTTTTTCTGTGAGATCCTGTGCTGGAAGTTCCGTTTGCTTCAATGACTGGATGACTTGACTGTGATAACTGAGTTGAACATCAGCAATGCATTTTTGAAGTCCTTAACAATCCATGTTATATAACTGCATTTTATGTTTATGTGCCACTACCAGAACTGAATTTGTGTTTCCATATTTGTTCAACTTATCCTGGATTTGCAATTTTGATAACATGAGTTAGGTCGAGCAGTGATAAGGCACTGCCATGACAGTGAGAGAGACTCTGCTTTTGTCTGAAAGCGTTGTGTATGCTGCACTCCCCATTAAATACTGCTAAGTGCCTTTTCAGGGAATGGAACAAGACACGGTTCAGGGCTGCCACTCAAGATCTTAGTATGAAAATCTGATGCATCGACACAAGAGTCAGCCAGCTCTTCTGATCCACTTGCTTGTCTATACTACAAGGATCGTTTTACTGCTGGGTGATCCCCAAGTACTTAACTAGGTCATTAGTCTTAATAGCTTAGATAAATTAATAGGTGTCTTTCCTTCCTCAGAGAAGCAAGATAATAAATATATGTCTGTAGAGGGCTGGAAGGGTGTCTAACACATTGCATTTTGCATTTTGGATTTTTCAGACTTTCTGTATAGGTACAATAAACTGTAATGCTCAAGTCTGTGCCCAAATTCTGAGACTTTGAACGTTCCTGAATGTAACCAGATGTTTCCCATTAAATGATTGTGTGTATTCCTGAGAATGGATAAAATATGTATTCTTCTAAATTTGATTTCAGAAATGATAACAAATTGGAGGGCTGAGTAGTTGTCAACCTCATGAAATTTAATGAGTAAGTGCTGCACTGGGATTAGGCAACTCTGTACAGACTTGGGGATGAGAGACTGGAGAGCAGCCCTGCAGAAAGGGATCTGGAGGTTCTGATTGATATCAAGTTGAACGTGATCCAGCAGTGTACTCTGCAGCCAAAGAGCCAACTGTACTCTGGGGTGCACCAGGCCCAGCACTGCCAGCTAAGTGAGGGAAGGGGTTGTCCTGCTTTACTCTGAGCTGTGTGACCTCATCTCGAGCAGTTTGTGTGCCACAATATTGGAAGGACATAAAATTATTTGAGTGTCCAAAGGAGGGTGAAGGGTTTGGAGGGCAAGACGTATGAGGAGCAGCTGAGGTAACTGGCTGTGCCCAGCACAGAGCAGAGGAGCTGAGGGGAGGCCTGATGGCGGCTGCAGCTCCTCACAGGGAGCGGAGGGGCAGCGCTGAGCTCTGCTCTGTGTGACAGTGACAGGGCCCGAGGGAACGGCATGGAGCTGTGTCAGGGGAGGGCAGCTGGGGGCTGGGGACAGGGTCTGCACCACAGGGCGGTGGGCATGGAACGAGATGCCCAGGGCAGTGGGCATGACCCCAAGTGCTGGAGTTCAAGGTGCATGTGGACAATGCTCTCAGATACAGGGTTTGATTTTGGGTGGTACTGTGTGGAGCCAGGAGTTGGACTCAGTGATCCTTGTGGATCCCTTCCAACGATTCCATGAATCTACAATTCTGTACTATGCTGTGGTTGTGGATCATTGAAATCCAAAAGAAGCCTACCTTTGGAACGTGTTCCTAAGACATTCTGAAATGTTTGTCAGACTAGATAGGAACTCCTGAACCATAATCTCAAAACTGGTAGAGTCAGCCCAGTTTTCCCCTCTTCTTCAACAGCCTTAAATATTGCTGCATCTGGCATGTATGTGAGCTGTTGATAAGAGGCCTTGATAGGCTTAGCATGGATTTGAGATTTTTTTTTTAACCACTTTTTGGAAGAGTTGCACCATGTTATTATAGTGTCCATCACAAAGACTTCTCTTGCAGCCAGATTCCTAAGGTATGTTTAAGAGCTATCTGCCACTCCTCTGTCCTGGATGCAAAGTTTTGTATGTTTGAAGTTGTGAATCACTTGGGCGTGAACCAGTAAAAGATTGATAATGAGCACTGATCTGTTGTTATTATTGTGAAAAGCCGTGTGATTTTGATATCTCTTTTTCCTTTTTCTTTCAGTTCATCGCCTTTGCCTCCTTATTCTTCATCCTAGTTTCAATCACAACCTTTTGCCTGGAAACGCATGAGGCTTTCAATACTATTATAAATAAAACTGAGCATGTTGTCAATGGAACAGAAACTGTACCACAGTATGAAATTGAGACAGATCCAGCCCTAACCTATGTGGAAGGAGTCTGCGTAGTATGGTTTACATTTGAATTTTTAGTGCGTGTTATTTTTTCCCCCAACAAACTTGAATTCATCAAAAACCTCTTGAATATCATTGACTTTGTGGCCATCCTCCCCTTTTACTTAGAAGTGGGCCTGAGCGGGCTCTCCTCCAAAGCTGCTAAGGATGTACTTGGTTTCCTCAGGGTAGTAAGGTTTGTGAGGATCCTGCGAATCTTCAAGCTCACACGGCACTTTGTGGGCCTCAGGGTGCTGGGCCACACTCTGAGAGCCAGCACCAATGAATTTTTGCTGCTGATAATATTCTTGGCACTCGGTGTTTTGATATTTGCCACCATGATTTACTACGCAGAGCGTGTGGGAGCTCAGCCCAATGATCCATCAGCAAGCGAGCACACGCAGTTCAAAAATATCCCTATTGGCTTCTGGTGGGCTGTAGTCACCATGACCACCCTGGGATACGGGGACATGTATCCACGGACTTGGTCAGGTATGCTGGTGGGAGCCCTGTGTGCGTTAGCAGGGGTGCTCACCATAGCCATGCCTGTACCTGTGATTGTTAACAACTTTGGGATGTACTACTCCCTGGCCATGGCAAAGCAGAAACTGCCGAGGAAGAGGAAGAAGCACATCCCTCCTGCTCCTCAAGCTAGCTCTCCCACCTTCTGCAAGACAGACTTGAACATGGCCTGCAATAGCACACAAGGGGACATCTGCCTGGGCAAGGACAACCAGTTGATGGAGCACAACAGATCATCAGGTAGGACCCCACTGGAGATGCATGTCCTCTGAGAACGCTTTATAGACCAGTATGTTTGGTAGGGGTCAGAAAGCAGCCAGTCTTTCTGCCAGGAGAAGACGTAGCTCCCACCCTTCTCCCCTCCAGTGTTTGCGTGTGTCAGTCTCATAGAGGACAAAATAGTTATAGTGACATTCTCAAACCTCTATGTAGCTGGTCTATACAGTTTTGCTTGCTCTGTTGAGAATGCTTTCCTGCTGATGATATCAACCTTTTCTTTTGCCTGTTGTTTGTTGTGTTATATGGATGTTTCTTGTTTTTCTGCATGACTGTGACTATTTGAGCAGCCACTGTGTCCCACTCTGTTGGACTCCATGGTGTTTTGCCTCAGTGTTTGTCTCTTGTGTCAGCTTTGCCTGTGCCACATCGTGGCCTGTTAAGCAAGATCCTACAAAGAAGCAGTCATTTAAAAGGAGCAGGTGCTTTACATCAAAAGCCCAGCACTCAAAGGAGATAAAGAGAAATTCTCTAGTTTTCTTTCTATTTATTTGGCATTCTGCTTCCCTGGCTAGAAAAAAAAATCTTTCATCTGTGTTAGATGAGACATTGCACGACGTTTACTATTAATTGGATGATAACAGTAAAACTGATGTTGAGTTTTTCAAGAAAAATGAAAATGGCAGCCCCTGACAACATCCATGCTATTAGTGTTCATTTTCATAATTTTTAATACCTTACTCCTCAGAGTTTCATGGAAGAGAATACTTTGTGCTAATTGCTGTGAAAACATGTATCAAATGACAGTCTCTGCCCCTCTGAGCCACTGCCCCATATTCCATATTTCTTCAAATTAAAGAGGAATTTTTCTCAGTATAATTAAAACATTATTTTTAATAGCAGGGATTTTTTTTGTTTGTTTCTTGAATGCATTCTTTCTTAAGCAAAATGCAATTTGATTACAAAGCTTGCCAGTCATTAGGTGCCTGTTGGAAAGCTGATAATTGCTAATATGAGAAAAACAAAACAAAACAGTACATGCCTAGTGTAATTCAGTAACTGAAGTTTATTTTTTCTAAAGAAGAGTCTGGAAAATCAGTTTCTGAACAATATCTTTCTTGGTTCTGTTGCTTTGTTGCTGCATAGCATTTATCTTCAAAGAAATTCAGTTTCAGTCTCTGAGTAAGTGTTCACAAAGTTAACACAGCTTTTTGAACATCCTAAATATATTTAGGAGGATGGAAACCTTTGAAAGAACTCACATTGAGGGTGAAATATAGTTACTTTTCCAGTGCTTTGACTGATACACACTTTCAGATGACATCTCTAAAGTAATAATGATAACAGCTTTTTCATGCCATCAGGTCCTGCCAAAGGTATTCCAGAGTGGAGGAGGCTCAATGTGATCAGAGCAAAGAGACACTTTTCTGTATCTGCAGCTTTATTTACAAGGTGGTGTAACCATTTAGTTAGATAAAAAGCACATACACAAAAAAGAAGTAATATTAAAATGTTAACTTTTTGGCAGTGCCAGCACTCACACTATATGTTCTGACTTTATTTCTGGTAGAAGATGCTGTTAAAGTAATTAGGAATCTTGTGCAAAAATTTTAGGCTGAATATAGCCAGTGGCACTAAAAGTTCACAAAAGCACATGCTCAGATTTAAATGCAGAGGTAAAGCAGAAGCCAAAATCATGCCATTACCTGTTATGTGCTGTACTAGCAGAGATTTATTTCTTGAAGTGTGGCCTGAATCTGAATCAGTAGATTCTTTTTTCAAATAGTCCTTTGGGAGACCCAAATCAAGAGAGGTAAGAGTTTCAGTGTTTGACAAAATAAACCACTCAGTCAACATTCAATGTTGGGTACTTAAAGTGACAAGCTGTGCAAACATCATAGCAAGTACAGAAATGAAAACTAAGTGTGCATAGTGAAACAGGCTTTAGTGTCAAATATTGATAATTGAACCCTTCTGGGGGAGGGGTTATCTTTACAAAATGCTAAGTAACATATTCTAAGTAAAAATGACTAGCATGACCTCTTATTAAAAAGGATATAAAAAATAGTAAAATACATCTTTAGATATCTGAAACTGACTATTTACAGTCTTTAACAGGCAACTAACCGAGCCTTGTTTTGCTTCTTTCTTATTTCATAGTCTAGTGGAAGCTTATGTGAGACTTAAAAGAAAAACAGGAAAGTCAAAAGATAATTTACTCTTGAATTAAAAAACAAACAAACAACTTTTTGCCATTTTGTACTGATTACTGATGAACTGCAATGTTGTTTTCTAATGATTTACCTTATAACTATTTTTTGAGTGATGGGAATATCTGGTGTTCTACATAAGCTCTTTGTGATGTCTCATTTCCTCATTCATTCTTGTCTGTAAATGGGCATGGTGCTTTAACCAGTGTTATCAGGTGAAGACAGTGCAGGAAGTGAGCAGCCACTCTCACCTGGTGAAAGGCTCCCTCCCATCAGACGCTCTAGTACCAGAGACAAAAACAGAAGAGGGGGAACATGTTTCCTACTGACAACAGGGGATTACACGTGTGCTACTGATGGAGGGATCAGGAAAGGTATGGACTTCTTTCATTAGATCATAAAGATCACTCAGCAATGTGCGTGTGAAAAGCAAACTTAGAGTAAAATGATGTGCACAATGCTCTTAGAGGAAAGACTGTACCACAGTGTATCTTTTTTTCTTTATTCCTAGTCGTTCTTTTCCTGCTTTTCTTTTAAAAACTCATTTCCTTTAGTCTTCACGAAAAGTGCTTGATGTTGGACCTTCATTTCACTTGTGTCTTCATTTGTCTGTTACTTTTTATGGACAAGCCTGCAATTCAGACTTTACTCATTCCACTACTCGTCACTTGATACCATTTGTCACTTTGAAAGACAAATTAATTATTTAGTAACTTTGATCCACACTTAATAACTTAGTAAAAATTACAGCTGAATAAATTATATTTTAAAAGTTGAAATACCAGAAGTCAATAACATTTTTATTTCTGAACACAACAAAGTGTATCAATGAGATGCTATTTAGATTTATTTCAAAGAAAAGTTTGAATTTATAGTGCCACAAAACATTCCCTCTTTGTAATATGCTATCTAATGCTAAATGGTGACTGCCTCCCCCAGTCAGAATTCAACTACAGTAAACTGCTCTTGATCTTGCAAGGTGCTGCTGTCTTACAAGTTGTTCAACTTCTTCAAGCCTAATTGCTCCCTGTTCCACAAGTTTGGGTTTTCCTGGTGCAGCCGTAAAAACCTTTTGGCATTATGAATCAGCCATGATGTGGCCACCCAATCAGGCCACAGTTGGGCATAACCCAGGGCAGAACCTCAAAATCAGCAATGCCAGTGGTAGTCTTGCTTTTCCTTAAAAGAGAATTACTTTTTTTTTTTTTTTTCCTGTTAAACTGCAGCATTCTTCAAAGTTTACAATTTTTCTGTTCTGTTGTTTTTTTTGGACAGATTTTTTTGTTTGTTTGCTTGTTGTTGTTGGTTTGTTTGTTTTGTTTTTTTTTTTTTACTAGCTGTGTCTACTGCAAATGTAGCTGTCCAAGCCAGCAGCAGATCCTAAAGCAATTCTCTTGGTTATTCTGCAGATGCTCTTTATGTTTCAAAAGCTCAGTAGATTTAGCTTGTGAAGGCAGGTATGTAACCAGAAATTGATGTGTATGGTGTTTGTAAAGGTTATCTCTGTGCACCTACATTTTACATATTCCTGTAAATAATGTTTAGATTAAATGGAGCTTTTTGGTTTTTCTGCACATGGATTGAGGATTCTTGTCTACTGAGTGTGTGTCTTGCACTGTCGCTTGGCAACTAAGATTATTTGCAGTATCTTTAAGAGTAAGGCTCCAGTCTCTTGAGGAGGTCAGAAGCACCTGAATAATGCAGATTAGATTGCCATGGCATCCTGCAGGACAGGGTTCTTGACTTATTTTAGAAATTACAGAATAAACATTTGAGTGTTGCTCACTTGGTGGTAACTGTTAATTAGAGCAGATAAAAAAATCATGGGAGAAGTTACCAATTAACTAGTAATGACATATTCATGTGACAATAAAACAGCATATTTTGTATGGGGAATGCATGAATGTTTTCATTTCAAAATCTAGCTTCAAGAGAAAAGTCATTGTTTTATAGTTTGCACTGGAAAACCAGGGCTTGAGTTCACAACTGACATTATCTCAATGAGAAATGTGCTTTTTGACTGACTCTAATGATAACCTTAAACTAAGTTGAAATGTTTTAGCCACTAGCTTTGAAATTTATTGTAGACAGAGTAGGGAAGCTAGCTGATGAACAGAAAATATTTTCAACTAGCATATTTGAATTCTTAAATTCTTGAATTTAGCTTACACATCAAGTCTACTAGTTTTTCATTTAATTTTTTTTCCCTTTCTTTCTTTTGGTATATTCTTTCTGTTTGGTTGCTTCCTTGATTGGTTCTTGGTTTTGTTCAGTGATCATTTGTTCTGAGCTTTTCTGCCTTGGCACCTTATCTCCATTTCTCAGAGTATACTGATTCAGTGCTGATCCAAACCCCACCGAACTATCTGGACATCCCTGATTTTTGGTTTATGCCTCTATCTCTATTCATCTTGTATTTCTGGTTTTCATTTTTTAGAAGTCCTTGTTTTCTTCGTCATCTTTACTATCTTCCTCTGTCAGTTCTTTGCTTTTATCATTAGAAAGGTAGCAGAAAAAATATTAAAATAATTATAAAAAGGTTTCCCAGTTTCTGTGTGAAAAAGTTAACTATTTCTTTTGATTTTTTTTTATTTTTTTTTATTTTTTTTTTGTAAAGCATTAAGTTTACACAGGAGGTTAAATATATACATAAGCAGTGTGCATCCCTTCTGTGCCCCTTTCAAACACGATTCTCTCAAATCTGGGTAAATACTGACAGAAAATCAGAAGCAGGAAACTGGATTTTAAATGTATCAGCAGTCTGTGAAGCATCACAGTTCAGCCTGCCCTTGCAATCTGGAGATAACACTGCACAATGGTTTAGCAGACATGAAGGCTGTACATGTGCTTTAAGTACAGGTTTACAGCATGCAATTTTCAGTATCTAAGAAATAGGATAATTGTTATTACTATATATGTTTTCGTCTCTCAATTGCTCAGGACCTGTACAGACACAAACAGAATTACAGTGCTTCCCAAAAAATACCTTGTTCTGGGGAGAACCTCAAGTGTGATTTTTTTCCTGAAGAACATTATTGCTTGTGGTCTATCGTCTGGAACCAGAAACTGTTTCAATTAGAAAACACCGCTGACCTGCCATGATGTTTAGATAGATGTATTGTCACTGACACTCTATTACATTCTCTGAGTAAAAGTCTCAGTACTTCACAGCAGGCAGTTTACTTAAGCATCTTCACATGGCACATGGCATTATACTTTTTGAGGAAGTTAGGTAGCACCAACTGAAATCAATGGACTTCTCCTGCTTGCAGTGAAGCATGTATCTGTGTCCTTTAGGAGCAGCATCCCATCCAGCTTGATCTTCATTTCAATCTCCTAGCTGATATCTCTCTCTAGACCAATCTGCTGATCCTTTCCTTCATAAGTAGAATTATTCAGATGCTCTTGCAAATACTTAATTATGAAGATTGTGAGGCAGAGAGAGCATAGCACTGCTTTTCAAGCATAGCCCTCTAGAAGGTGAAAACAATCAGTGTGCAGCTAAAAGTAGGTAGCTGGAGCTCATGGTGTGAACAGAAATGTCTGCAGGTGCAGTGTTCTCTCCAAATTGTGAAGCATTATGTGATTTCCTCATTTAATGACTAATTCTTCACTGTTTGCTTATGCAGATTAATATCATTTATTTCATCTCAGTCAGCTGGAGAAGCAATACAAATTTAGTGATTTAAATTGGCCAGTCAGGAAGAATTTGAAAATATGTCAAACTCTGCTATCATATTATAATTTAATAGTAGACACAAAGTCGTAAGTTTAAATTTGTGCAGATGGAGCTTCTTTCCATAGTATCATTCAGTACTCTGCAGAAATTACTTACAAACATTGATGCAATTTTGTCTTTTTTTTTTTTTAATTTCATTTTTTAAGGAAAAATATTTCTTTATTAGGAATTGGTTTTAACAGAGGTTATATCATTCTAACAGTTTTTATGGTCTGTCTTAATGGGATTATGCTTAGTCACATAATTCACCCGAAAACCCTGCTGTGATCTTTGATCTTACACTCTGCACAACCCTGTTGAAGCCAACAGAGTGGCACAGAGTGGAAGAACAGGCCAGACCTCTGACGTGGTTCTGTGTTTAATTTCCTGGGAAAGAATAACTGCAGTATTTCATAAATTGTTTTATTCATTGATGTCTTTTGACAGCACTGCGTCTAAGTATTCAGTTCTTTCGCAGGCAAATTCCCCGAGTCCCAGATAGCTCCTTGGATTACATGACATTGTATTGTTTGTCTTTGTCTATTTTTTTGGCTGAATTCAACTGATGTCTGTGCATTTTCTCATACAAGGCTACGAAAAATCTCGAAGCTTAAACAACATAGCTGGCTTGACAGGCAATGCTCTGCGACTGTCTCCAGTAACATCACCCTACAGCTCACCTTGTCCTCTAAGGCGTTCTCGGTCTCCCATCCCTTCTATCTTGTAAACCAGATGGCATCAACCGGCTACATAATATTAATTCAAATACTGTTTACCAAATATTGGACATAAATGTAGCTTAAACCATAGGCTCCAGAAATATGGTATAACTCCTGCATGATATAACTGTCAGTAGTTATAGAAGTGCCACCTGGCTAGCTGAAGAATTTTATCTTGGCTTTTGAAGATTATCTAAGGTAGTGCTTCTTCTTTGATCTACTATATTGTCCTACATTCCTGTGGCAATAAAAGGGCAGTTAGTGGATGCGATTGGACAGTACATACAATAAATAAGCAGTTTTTCAGGGAGATTTATTTAAAATAATGTGCTTCCAACTAATTATCCGTCACTCCATTGAACCTCCATTTCTTGTGACTCTAATCCATTCCGAAGATGTCTGGAATTGTGTCTTGGTTGCACACAGTGTGACTTGGGTCTGCTCATTTGCATGGACCATCCTGTCCCCATCACCCGACAAGCCGTGTTGCCGATCGCGGAGACCACAGAGGGCTCTGGATGTGTGTTCTCGCATTGTAACATCCTGCTGAAATGAAAGCACTGATAAACTGGTCTGCATGTGGGATTGTTTTTCTTTGTTTAACCTTTTCCTTTAGTTTTTAATGATCTACTTGTTTATAAATTGTTTTATTTTGTGATTAACTTACTTGGTACTGGATTACTGTATCAGAGTTCTGAATGTCTCCGGTTGTTTGCACACAGATAACTGCAAAGAGGTTGTCATTACTGGTTACACGCAAGCAGAAGCCAGATCTCTTTCTTAATGGCTTGGGGAAGGCACAAAACATGCAAGAAAGGTAAACGCCATCCAGACTTGCAATGTTAAGCTAGCAAGTGCTGCTTGGTACTGTAGTCATTTCTCTACTCCAGGGTTCTTCAACATTTTCAGAGACTGAGTACCAAGTAAAATTGAGAAGATTACTGGGGGCTTTTTTTTGTACCACTGTAAGAGAGTCATAGTTCTCAAGTGGGTTTTTTTTTGACCAGACTAATACCTCTGGCTCATGCGCTTTGAAAAATTCTTCAATGTTTTTTGAGGTGCTTTGTCCTGTGTGTTGTTTGTCTGTCTGTTTTGCGACCTGTCTAATGTATTCTCCATCTGTCTCCATAAAGCACAGAGATACTCTTAAAATGCCCCCTTCTTTTAAGGCTAACTAAGGACATTTTTCTCCTTTTCTCTCTCCTTTTTTTTTTTTTTTTCATATGTGTATAGATACATAAATATATTTTTCAAGTGCAAGTTAATATTATATAGACTAACTAACTCAGAGTGAGCACTCTCACGATTTTTAGAGTGAGATTTAGTAACAACTTTACAATGCTGACCAGTTGCCTATTGCATCAGTCCTCCTCCTAGCAACCAGCATTCCCTACAGTTCTGAAACTGTATCTCCTCTAGTGGCTTTTTCATTCAATATTAATCTGTGTTTATGCAACGGGACAAATGCAATAGCACATTTGATGTTGTGGGCTGGTGAGGAACAATTACCCTAAAATACAGAGTTTTAGAATTACACAGGGGAGACTGTAGCTACTCATATCACAAGAGATCCTTGAGATTGTTGAATAATCCCTGACTGTCATGTTTATTTTTTGTTAGGACAAGAACTAAAAAGTATTGTTAATCATGTAACATGTTCTTCTGTATATAGCCTAGCCCAACAGCATGACCTGCATGACAAAATTCTTG